GGAGCACAATTTTGAATTTGGGACGGACGTTTCACAAATAAAATTCCTGTGCCGCCTTTGGCGGTCGCTCGCTACTGCAAGCGAAAGGAATCTGGTTAGAGCAAGCGAGAAGCGCTACAACTCGCAGCTTTAACTTTGCAAATTCTTGTCCTTTGATTGGCTGAATTGTATCATCAATCATGTGTTGGAGGACTTCAAAAATATATCTATTAAAGTTTAAAATTTAATTAAAATCTATTGTCCTAAACAACCAAGTTAGTCCACAGTTCTTTTCTTCCGGAGAGGGTGATTTATTCAAACCAATTCTACAAGCTTCTATTTTTGGCTTTTCATCAAGTTCCAACAACACTTGACTGACCTTGTTACATAACAGCTCACCTTTCTCTTCTTTAAGACCAAATAACATCAGATTCCGACTTCGGTCTCCTTCTGCCTCAACATCCTCAATGACATTCTTTATTAATGTTGACGAAGTATTATGAAAGATTGAGGGATTAAATTATGCTATTGAGGGATTAAATTATGCTACATTGTTAATATAAACAGTCTAGATCTTAACTTGGAGCCACAAGGCCAAGGGTAATTTTTGAGTGTTTAGGGAATTTTTTATATTCTTAAAGGTTTGTTTTTATATAGGGTCATTGCTATATTATGTGTATATTGTTTGAATAATTTTATATTATATATAATTATGCTACTAATAAAGAGAAACACAATAAATATCTTGTGTGTAATCCTCATGTTGCTTTATAAACGCTTTATCAACTTATATAGTAGTGAAAAGTATAGTAAGTAAGTAAGTAAGTAAAAATTATGACATAACATCATCACAAGTGATCTACAAAATATCATTGCACTAAATAAAAAAATAATTTAAATAAATATATTTTTCCATCAACATTAATAATTTATCAAATTCAATTTTATTAATTAATAAAATCTAATACATTATCTATAAATAATTCATTAATACTTCCCAGTGGAATAAAGATTTATAAAACGCTTCTTTGCCACAAAAGGATGAAACCAAAGATATTCATTATGTGTCTCCTTATTGCTTAAATAACTGGGTCCTTCAATTTTCCCTAAAACTTCACTCGAAATATTCCAAAAATAAAAATCATTTACACTGTTTTTAGAAATCATTTCTTTCTTAAATCCTTCCAATCTAACTTTAAAGCTTAAAACTGTCGAGCAGTTCTTGACATCCGAAGGGAGTTTGTTCCAGTAAGGAATGACTCGCTCCGGAAGAAAAGAAGACTGGAGATTCTTAACTTTAGTTACACTCTTATTACACCTATTAGTTGAAACTAGATTAAGACCAGATCTGCTCATTCTGAACAAACCCGATCCATATTCAGTCAAACCACTAGTTACTTTAAAAGCTTCGATAAGGTCCCCACGTATTCGCCGCTCTGCCAGCGTTGTCAAATTGAGGATATCCAGTCTGCGGCTGTATGGAAGAGTACCCACCTCATCAATAAGACGGGTAAACCGCCTCTGGACGCTCTCCAGCTCCAAAACAGTCCCCCAACTTCCATGAGCCGCAACTGGATTCCACAATTGGACACAATACTCAAGATGAGGTCTTATCAAAGCTTTATAAATAGCTATCATTACAACCTTTTCTCTAATAACTAAATTTCTTACAATCCAGCAGATCATACGATTTGCTTTAGAAATACATGCTTTTATCTGTTCATTCCAAAGCAAGGAGCTATGGGTAATAACCCCCAAATCTTTTTCCTGTGCAGATACTTCTAGTTCTACTCCATTTACAATATAATTCGAGTTAGGATTATTATTCAGATTAATATGGACTACTTTACACTTGGCAGGATTGAAGTTTAAGTGCCAAATACTCTCCCAAATTTCGAGTTCTAAAATATCATCAGATACACTTCTATGGTTAGCTGCATTACAAACTAGCTTGAGATCATCTGCAAATAATTTAATCTTATTTTTAACATTGTCAGGTAAATCGTTTATATAAAGAATAAATAGCAAAGGACCCAATACTGACCCCTGGGGAACACCAGATAACACGTGTTTCACCTCAGACCATTGTCCTTCTACACAAACCCTCATGGTTCTGTCTGTCAGAAAGTCTTTTATAACATCTAAAACTTTTCCCTTGACCCCAAACCCCTCCAATTTAGATAGAAGTCTAAAGTGGGGGACTGTGTCAAAAGCTTTACTAAAATCAAAATACAAAAGATCGACAGGAGCACCTTCGTCTAAAATATCAAGAATATTATCAAATGTCTCTAAGAGATTAGAAAGACAAGATTTACCCTTCACAAATCCATGCTGATGCTTTGAAATTCGTTCTTCTAAAAATGTTAATAAATGTGCCCTCACCAACTTTTCATACACTTTGCACAAAATACAAGTTAAAGAGACAGGTCTATAATTTAAGGGATCAGATTTAACACCCTTTTTGAACAATGCTACAACAGATGCTGTCTTCCAAATGTCAGGCAGGACTCCTGTTTCTGAACACTTAACAAATAATTCAGTTACAGCTTCAACAAACTTTTCATCGTATGCTAAGGATTTCAACAACTTTGGATGAACGCCATCCGGACCAGAACTCTTAAAAACATTAAGCTTTAAAAGCTGCTTCTTGATATCAGAACTGCTAATTTCCATATCATCAATAACCTCTCTGTTATAACTCTCATTTTGGGGAAGAGGGCCAGGTGGTTCACGCACAAACACAGAACTAAAGGCACTAGCAAGTACCTCAGCAGACTCAGATGAACTATCTGTGCGTGTACCATCTCCTCTATCTAAAGAAACAACACTTGATTTGACTTGACGTTTATTACGCAAATACGAGTAAAAAGATTTGCAATTCTGTTTTAAATTAGTTGTAATCTTCTTTTCATAATTTACTTTAGCTTTAATTTCTGCCACCTCAAAAATATGCTGCTTGCTATTTGCACAGCTAAAGTTAATATCCGAAGGATTAATATCAAATTCAGCCCATGCTTTATCTTTGTTCTTCCTCATTCTTTTAAGTGAAGTTGTACTCCATGGCAACTTGACAGGTCTGTTGTCGAGATAAACCGAAGCAGCTGGGACAGCTGCAGCAACAGACTCCAATTTACCATGTAATTCAACCCACATATCTTGAACATTATTTGTACAACTATAATCCCATTCAATATTATTCTTACTAAAGTTAAATAACTCTTCTGAGGAAATCTTACCCCAAATAGGCTTTAAAATCTTTTGTTTGGGACTTTTGTTAGTATTGGGCGAAACAACCAGTTCAACAAGTATCCCAACATGATCACTTTTGCCAAGCGGAGAAACGATCTTACAACCGTTGACAAGAGCATCATTTGTATACAAAACCTGATCAAGAAGACTCTCCTGGAGAGTATCTTTCACAAGCCGTCTTCTGGTTGTTTCGTTAGTAAAGTACCACGTCAAACCACTGTCATTAAATAAATCAATATACTTTTGTTGAATCATTAAAACCTGATTCTTACTAGAAATACCACTATTTACACTACCAGTTTCCCAAGATACATTAGGTAGGTTAAAATCTCCTATGATAATGGTTTCAAAAACATTCTTTTCACTAGATATGTTCTTGATGCAAGATAATAACATATTATTCTGTTTTAAATTCAAAGAAGTAGACCTATAAATACAACAAATACTAATCAATCCACCAGAGGTATTGACATTAATAGCTAAAGAGTCTGGTGCTTTTAAAAATGAGCTCACTAATGAAGCATTACAACTGTTTTTAATATAAATAATAGAACCTCCACCTCCACTTATGTTGCTAGTGGAATTATCGATTTTAAAATCTCTGTCTTTTCTAAACATACTAAAACCTTCAATAAAAATTTCAGCATCTAAAATATCACTATTAAAATGAGTTTCTGTAATGCAGATTACATGAATGGATTTATAAACTGATAGAATACATTTTAGTTCATCAATTTTATTAAATAGTCCATTAGCATTAGTATAAAATATATTCATGGGCTGACTACATTCTTTGTTACTGCTATTTACTTCTTCTCCACCTTCTTCTCTGTCTTTTCCTTCTCTGCTTCTTCCCGCCTCTTCTTCCTCTCTTCTCTGGCTAAAAAACGGATCTCTCGGTCTGCTCTGCAGAGATCCAGATTTATCCAGTATGATGACTCTTTCCAGCCCTTGCCATGGTTGGAATAATAGTTAACTGACTCCTCGTCAGCTGTCTGGATGATCAATGGCCGACAGGAGTCTGGCTTACCTGGATCCACTTTACCTGCACGATGGCAACTGATAAAGTCACTTTTTTCAATCTTTAGTGTCTCCTTGCAGAACTTCGAGTCCTCTTCCTGGCGTAGCTTGGAGTTAGTTTTCTTGCTCTCTGGTACATTCAAAACACACAGATTGAGCTTTCTTAAATTTCGCTCATATGCATCAGTGTGCATCTTTGACTGAACTTTACTGACAACACTTTGAGAAGCTTGCTGTAGGCTCATTTCTTCAATAACTTTCTTCTGACTATTTGCAGTAACATCTGCCCAGGTTTGGAAAGCCTGGTTCACAATTTTTGTGATTTCTTTTGGTTTTTCAGATGAATCATTAGAAGAACTGGTATGACTCACAGAATCTTCGACAATTCCTCTAATACACGGAGTAAGGGCACCAAGTTCTTCTCTAATAACATTCCGTAGGGTCTTCACTGTCTGGATTTGTGGACTGGCTTCTTGTGCCCTTGATGTGGGGAGAGATAAAGCAATTTTGGCAGCGCCAGTTAGTCAAGTGGTTACCTTCTTCCTGCGTTAATCCAGTAAGCCCAACACAGCAGTAGTGCCAGTACATGTCGCAAGTTGCACATGCCAAAGAAAACTCTTCCGCAATATATCTTCTACATTCACAGCTACGATCTTCTTCTTCTTCAATTTCTCCATTGTCCGCTGTCATATCGACCTTCACTGGACTTTTCTTGACATCTCTTGATCGTGTCATATCTCCGGGTGTCATACCTCAAATTATTTGTTATATAGTAGTGTTGAAAGTATTAAAGTAGTGTTGAAAGTATTAAAACTATATAAATTAGATTCATTTTAACTTGGTTGTTTAGGCCAATAGATTTAAGATAATTTGTTAACTTTAGTAGATATATTTTGTTGATGATGTGTGATGATGTTTGTGTCATTATATTTTGATTTGATTTGATTTGTTTTTATCCGAATCCAACAAAGGACCTGCTGCTGAGCAGTGGCGTAACGTTGCCTGTTGGCGCCCCCTGCCGAAAAAAGCGCCCCCCTGTTGGCGCCCCCTCCCCTTTTGGTGCCCCTCCCTAAAATTGAACAAATTAGGTGATTTTAGAGAATACGCCAGTAAAATCTCTAAAAAAGTGTGTATCTAAAGCAAAACGCGCAGTTTTGCTAGTACTTTAGTTAAGTTTTCGAAATTGTCCCACATTCAAACGACGATTTGGCGCCCCCCTAAGACGGCGCCCCCCTGCACAGCGGGGTCAGCAGGGCCTTTCGTTACGCCACTGCTGCTGAGGTTTTTGATTCCTTTACCACATCGCTGTATAGTGTATGTCTTTAACTCTGATTTCACAGTATCTTCAACTGATGCTACAACCACAGATTTCAAGTCATTATGCTGCTTGTCCATGGTAGCAAGCAGCTCTTTCTGCAATTCAACTATTGTCCCCTGACTGTCAATTACATCAGAGTGCAATTTCTGGTTATACTTCTCCATCTGATCAAGGTACAACAATTGTCTATACATAATTTTTAACGCAGCATCAAAAACTCTGAGCCATGACTTCCCTAGTGATTTCTCTTTTGCCACTGAAAATCTGAGCTACACACGCGTTCACATAATCTGCTTTAGGAAGCCCGATAGTTTGCTGGATCCTTTCAGCTCCATCATCTCTCACTTCATCAAGCTTAAAAGCCTTGTATTTCTCTGATTTATACATCATAAACCACACCACCGGTAAATCAGGCAGGTCTTATCAACGGTTGTTTAGGCCAATAGATTTAAGATAATTTGTAAACTTTAGTAGATATATTTTGTTGATGATGTGTGATGATGTTTGTGTCATTATATTTTGATTTGATTTGATTTGATTTGTTTTTATCCGAATCCAACAAAGGACCTGCTGCTGAGGTTTTTGATTCCTTTACCACATCGCTGTATAGTGTATGTCTTTAACTCTGATTTCACAGTATCTTCAACTGATGCTACAACCACAGATTTCAAGTCATTATGCTGCTTGTCCATGGTAGCAAGCAGCTCTTTCTGCAATTCAACTATTGTCCCCTGACTGTCAATTACATCAGAGTGCAATTTCTGGTTATACTTCTCCATCTGATCAAGGTACAACAATTGTCTATACATAATTTTTAACGCAGCATCAAAAACTCTGAGCCATGACTTCCCTAGTGATTTCTCTTTTGCCACTGAAAATCTGAGCTACACACGCGTTCACATAATCTGCTTTAGGAAGCCCGATAGTTTGCCGGATCCTTTCAGCTCCATCATCTCTCACTTCATCAAGCTTAAAAGCCTTGTATTTCTCTGATTTATACATCATAAACCACACCACCGGTAAATCAGGCAGGTCTTATCAATGTAGTGATAAGTAAACTGATAAGCAAGCAACATGAACAAAGTATTGAAAAGTGTAATTACTCAATTGGTTAGGGTCGAGTTGCGGTTAGGGCTTGGGTGACTCAAGATTATACTAAGATTATACTTGTCTCCTCCACTCTTTTGCCCATGTGTCCTCCGCTCTTGTTTCTGGTTCCCAGAATAACTATTTGCTCTTTGGTTGTTAGCTTTTTGTTTAATGAGTTCAGAAGTTTCAAAAATTACAGGGTCACAGATTGGGGCTGAATTCATCCTTTTGGTTTTCTCTGAGGTGTATACCATGAAGATTGGGAGATTGTTATTTAGGAGTTGTTGTTGATGAAAAATATCAGTGATTTCAATTTAACGGTATGTATTTCTACAGCTGACAATTTAATCGTAAAAAGTTATATTTGCAACTTATGTGTTCAAGTCTGATTAGCTATGAATTCTAATAAATTGATATATTTATAGCAAACAAGATGATTCAGTCACTAATCAGCACTCTGATGGCTCTGCTAGCTTCCATTTTGTCTGGCATAATGCTAAGGATCGACCCAAGTAGGGCTCCATCTACAGAGGATTTTGAGAAATTTGTCAAAGTGCTCTTCTCACACGAAATCGCTCATCGTGGTGGATCTCATGATGCACCTGAAAACACGATTTGTGCTTTTCAAAAGGCTGTACAGCATGGTTACAAAGCTATTGAACTTGACATCCAGTTTACATCTGATGGGGAAGCTGTTGGTAAGTTTGTGTTTATTTAAATAGCTAGTCTTAAAATAGCCTAGATAGATTTCAGTTTGATCTCCTGATTAACTATGAGTAGGTTCCGTAGCTATTTAAAAAAATTGTAACTTGTTTTGCAGTTATACACGATGAAAGCCTTGATCGAACTACCAACGGGAAGGGAGAAGTATCAGATAGCACTCTAGAGGAGGTGAAATCACTCTCTGCTAACAATAATTTCTCTGATGTGTAAGTTTGTCCAATTTTCTTACTTTTACAACATAATTGTTTTGCTCTCTTGTGACCTTCCACCACAAAGCTGTAAAAGCCCACAAATAAGTTTTAGAATGTAGGGATAATCGAGGACAGAATGTCGGTATTTATTGGGAATCAAGTGTAGCACACATGCCAAGTTGGGCGTTTGTAATTATCAGCTATATGTCTTGTTATAGATAAAAGGAAAGCATCATCTTTAGTATTTGTTTGCTGATTAATTTAAAACCAATTCAGCTGGAAACTTTAAAAGTTTGATAATGGTTAGTATGCATCATAATCTCGTATTGTTCCAAACTGTTGACGATTGAACGATCATGTTCATTCAGAGATATTCATATGCTAATCTCTATTAAGATAAGACAATAAGTATCATTTGATATGCATTTTGTAATGTACAATAATAAACAAGCATAACGATTAAATCGTTAACGTTAGTAGAACGTGACGGCCGGGGAGAAAAATGGGGAGAAAAAAAATAGGGGAGAAAAAATGGGGAGAAAAAAAATAGAGAAAAAAGCAAAGCGAGTAAATTCTTGGATGTAGACGTGATATAGAAAAATAACAATATTTGTTCAGTCAAAATATGATGAAATGGATTTCTAGCCCTAAACATTCTCTCTCTTTAAGTTTTAATAATCTTGCCATTGACTAATGTTCATAATATAGATTTAAGGTTTCTGTTAGATCAGCAGTTATTTTGATTTCTAAACTCATTTTAAAAAGTTTCTCCCTATTATTCTATTTGCAGAGTTCAGGATCTTCTTCCTTCTACTTAACTCCATATTCTGCTTTCTTTCAATCAGCATTATAGTGAAATAGTGAAATAGTGAAATAACCCAAATACTTACTTCAGAAGTAGAGAAGACCGGATTTCAGGAAGTTAAAAATTTTCAGAGTCCTATTCAGGCCCACTGTAGAGTGTAGGTCTCTTTAAAACATTCTTTGTCAGGGGTGACGAGTCAGGAAAGAATAAGAGAGTCTAGGTAAGGTATTCAAATTGCAATTACGAATTGAAATTACTCTGACACCACTAAAGGTCTGTGTTCATTTCTGAGAATAATTGTCTAAAATAGATTCAATCCCAGGACGGGGTCCTGGCAGGACGCACACATGTTGATTCACGATTTGAGTTTGAATTCTTATTTAATCTTATTTGCAGTGGATCCAACGGAACTTTTTTTGAACTTTCAGGATTAAAAATAATAAAATAAATAATAGAATAATATGCCATTCATATTTTTACCAGCATTTACTGACTGTAATACTGATTTCTTTCAGTGGGGATTGCAAAGTTCCTACTCTGGATGAAGCTATAGAGTTTGCTATAGCAAACAACCTCATCTTACTCTTTGATGTGAAAGGTGGAGTGCACTGTAGTAAGGTATGCGAAGCTAAACGATTTGTATGTTATTTTGCTTTTTGATGGACCAGAACGGGTGGTTGAATCGGATTTGAAATTCACGTTTTCAAGAACTTCACTATACAAGTTCTGCTATAATTCACGTTTGAATGTTCACTGTATACCTAATGGCCTCCTTATCCCTCAGTTTACAAAGACCCTTACTCGCATCCTAAAGAAATATCCTCAATTCTCCAATAACTTCGCTGTCATCTCCTTCTTCCCTGACATCCTGTACCAAGTCCGTCAAACCCACCCCACCGTCATCACCGGCTTTACTCGCAGCCACGACGACATCCAGGACAAAGTAACAAAAGCCGGCTTCAAATCTCCCGCCCTGCAACCCCTCCTACTTCTCGCTGACAGGGTCTTCGACTTTGTCATGTTCTACTACTTCGTACCCTGGATGAAGATAAACATGTTGGAGATCAGGAAGAATGATGTCAGTGAGCAGTATGTGCAGAGTGTGGCTCCTCTTCCTGTACTCACCTGGACTGTTAACGACCCTGCTGAGAAGAAGTTCTTCAAACGTATCGGCTGCTCTGTCATGACTGATGTGGTTTCAGATGCCTTGCCTGTTGTCTTGAGTTAGGTTTACTGATCTGATAGGGACTGTGAAATGTAGGCTATCCCAATTTAGGGGGTTTGAAATGTAGGCTATCCTAATTTAGTCAAGTCAGGTGATATTTTAATTTGTAGGTATTTTTGTAAGAATCTTTTTGAGCTGTTATGCAATGGATTTTATAATGTGCTATTGCTCTAGCTCTGTATGTAGCGGGTGTTTTAGCTTTATTTGTATCCTTTACTGTAAAACTTTAAACTGTTTTGTAGGTGAAGACTGAAGATAGACTCTTGTACGTAACCAAATGTGTAGATATATACTTATCCACGCAGCACTCCGGGATGTATAAAATATTGAATATCCACACAATCCACAATGGCTTTAGCCCGCAGGTTACAGCACGTAGGTCCCGCAGGGCCCCGAGTAGCTGTATGTTTTATACGTCCCGTCGTGCGAGGAGGAGAAGGTGTATATCCACGGGGGCTTTTATTTAGCAATATTATTTAATTTCCGGTGAGGCGTAATCTTATCTGCAGCCTTCCTGCTGAATTTCTTACGCTGTCACGTGATTATGTTTTTGTTGTCACGTGATGGTTTTGAAGACGCGTGCACGTGCCAGTTATATACTTACAGTTGTGAATCTACATTGTACAATCCACAAATTATCCATCTACTTATCAAGAGGTAGCATATGATTTATATATAGCACGTAATTGTTAAACATTGGCCGGCCCGGAGGTATGATATGTGATGTAACGAGAAAAATTATGCGTTACAGCGCGGGAGATTATAGGAGGGAGGTTATTATGATTTCACAAAGCGTTGAATCGAAATGTATTGTGCGATAGATTCAATCGCTTGGGATATGTATTTTCAATCATCTTCAAGTGTATTGCTATATATAGAAATTAGAATGATGCATGTGAAGCGACAGAATTTACTTTTAACGGACATTTACATTCAGTTTATTAATTAAAGTATCACAAATGTATAGCATATCAGTTTTAGACTAACGAACTTTCTCTTTTGATTAGCGTCTTATCACATTTGCCGTCTGGTTGACCACCGTTCTGTAATATTAAGGGGCAGTAAAACTAGCGGCCTGAGATGAATGGGAACTAACCACCCCATGGCTGATAGCAACAATTTAAAGTTTATCGACTCTGTTACATCGTGCTATATTGTAGCCACCAGATGGTGAGAATAGCCACAGCCTACATGCAATGTCCGTTGTCACCCACATTAAATGTCAGCCTATTCCAAGTTTATATAAATTATATCACGCCATAGTTATACCAACTCACCGCCCAATTATACATTGTGAAATGTAATACTTACTCTTACACTCTAGGAGGTTACGGGTTACTTAACACACAGTTCCTTTAGCTTAACAATACCACGATGTGTGTCATCGTACATACTGATGTGTATTCTGTACACTGCAAGCCATAGATTTAGGAATAAGGATGGGCGTATACAGTAGCTGAGAGATATTTACAATAAGTGTATAATTGTATTGTGTTGGTGACCTGTAGGTGACGGAGTGTAATTGCAGCCAATTAGTGTCCGTTAGTGTGAGCTACGTACACATGTGAGAGAGATTTTACTGAATCATGTTATGTGGATTGTGGTTGAAGCAGAGATATTATCTATTTCCCCACCCCGAATAGAGAATATATCCGTTAGCTATTGGTAGATGTAACCGAGAATATCTCCCGCATCGCTCTTTTGAGGAGAACATCATTTTTTGTTGAATGTAAACTTCTATGATCAGGGATTTTAAGCTATTTATGACTGTTATTTTTATACCGTAAAATGCTTGTTACTGTTAGTTGATTTGATGTGTTTCATTAAATTATTTTGTGTTCAAAGTTTCTGATGCTGTCTAACTAGACTCGAGTAAGGACAACATTTTATATCAAATTTTAATTCTGTTCCTATTCGAGTAGCAATGTTTAACGCAAGCCTATTATAAGTTATATATCATATTGTTCGCAGCATGAAGCGTATATGTATTTTATTAGGTTAAATAACAAAGATTTCATTTAATTATGTGGTCGAATCAAAGATTTTATCTATTAAGCTATCAAAAAGGAGTTCACTATATTTTACATAACCAAACGATGAGAATTCGGGTTTCTCACTCGTTCAAAAATGATAACTTTCACGTCTGATGACTGATAGTATTTCGTAAACGGCTTTTTAAAATATATCATTTATTTTATTCACTGTGTTTTACAAAATTTCAGTAGGCTTGTTTATCATTGTCTTTTCCGTTTACATTTTAAAATTTATTAAGTTTTATCCTGATAACGATAAATTGAAATATGATACAAAGTGCGTCAATTGTCAAGTTGGACAATCTTAATTCAATCTTAATTCAATAAAATTTGCTGATTTCAGCTTCGTCCTCCGATTGGGCGACTTAAGTCACGTGCCAGACCCGTAATCTGACTTCATCTTATCCCAGGATGCTGGTAGAGCCAGTGGTAGCACCACGTGATGTGTACCAGTTCCCCTCCTTCAGCATCTTCTCCCCGGAGCCCCTGGAGAAAGTGGACGATGTTGAGGAATCAGAAAAACCCGACGGTTTCGAGCGACCACCCTCGCCACTCGAGGAGGTCATTCAGCAACCTCCCAAACTTTACGAACAGTTTCTAGAGATCTTACAAGAAAGGATTAAACCAAACGCAGCTTGCACGAACTTGTCTATCGAGCACCAGGAAGGACTCATTTCTATAATTTTCTCCGAGGTGTATACAATATGGAACAGTTTATGTGAGGCAATAAATGACCCCCATCTGACCTCCACTCAGAACAAGAAGGTTCACATCATGCTGTTCATTAATGTTGTTGAGATTTGTCAGGAACTGTTCTCTAATTATTTGAATAGAATCAATAAGTTGGACGGTAAAGGTGTTTTCTCGAGGTCAGTTAATGTGTCGCGTATCAAGGGTTCCTTGATATCTGAAGCAAGTAAATCACTAAATGTTCACAGACTCCGACAGAAGATTTTACAAGAGTTCAAAGTCCAATCTGTCCCTTCCAGCCGAAAAACTGGACTTGAAGATGAGTTCAAGGACGATTTCTTGGGTTATTTTGATCGGATGATCCCAAAAGCAACATCTGTATCAATAATAGACCCTGAATTATCTCAGAAAGTATCTGCAATAGAGAGTAAACTGAGATTTGCGCAGGTAGTTTCTGAGTTTAAGTCTGTAAGTGACGCCTCCAAGTCCCTAGCCAAGTCATATGGTTTCGAAGCTGCGGGCAGTGACGGTGAAGTCTCTTCTTTTACAACAGGATCATCACCTCACAAGCTACAGCAGGAGGACTCAGTCATGTTCCGACACCGAGACCTGGAGTTTCTTCTCTCAGAAAACAGAGTCCCAGCTACTCAGATGACGGTAGCTGATGACGAAGAGGAGTTGGCGGCCGTGTTGCAAGCATCAACCAAAGCAGCACCGCCCAAACGTAGACCACAACCAAGACGGGAGCGTCTAGAATCTATTCTGAGTGGTGAAAGTGTCGATGTATCTAATCTTCCTGTCCAGCCGGCTATCACTTCCAATGTTATGCCTGATAAAACTGTAGTCAAAACATCAGATATTCGCGTTTCAGAGAGGGTCCCTCAGTCGAACATGATTTTAGATCTCTCACCTTGCTTGTACAACGAACTATTAAACGAGATAGATGAATCTGATATAGCTTTCCTTGACAGGAACCTCTTTATGGGTCAGGAGATAAAAGATGTCTACAGTGAGATCTACAAAACAATCGACCATGCTCACGTACAATTTACATCAGACATGGAAAAACCGTGTCCAAACCTCCCAACAGCAGATCATTACTTCAACTCAGGAATTATGAGGAAGAAAAAGGTGAAAAACAGGAGAATCAATGAAAAGATTAAAGTTACAGACAAACCACCCTGGGGAATGAGTACTAGAGAAGATTGGGAGGCTAACGTTCACTTTCAGGGCAATGATTCACACGGTGATCCTAGCGAAGTGTTCCCTAGCCAGCTCCTCAAAGTTCCAGTTTTCTCCGATTTCGACACCACCAACTTCAAGGGTGATGCAAAGTCGTCAAGTAAATCATACACAAACTGGTTGCAGTGGTGGAAGTCAATAATGTCTGCGGAGGACTACTTCAAGTATTTGTCCATCCGGGAGAGCGATTATCTTGCTTTGGTATTTCATCTTTACGATTCGGAGGAGGACATGGACTCGGATGATGAACGTGATATTCTGCTGGAAAAAGAGCTGTTAAAGGAGCGTGAAAAGCGAGACCAGCTGTTGCAGGCAATGTTGGAGGAGAAAAACAAAGTTGTCCCCGGTTTTTGGAATGCCAACGCTATATTGATGGGAGGACTAGGCAAGGATCCAGAATTAGAAGAGGGAACTTTAAGCGGTGATCTTACCCCTGAAAAGATCACCCAGCTTGTTCAGTCTAGTTCTACCCTCAGAAAATATCCTCGTTCAAAATCTGCTGAAAGTTCCAGTACGATGGCCCCGAAGAGTGTTATGTCCAAAGAATCAAAAACTGTTGCTTTTACTGTGTCACAAGATGTAGTCAGTACTGGCATGGCTTCTATTGCATTGGAAAGTAAGATGTTGCAGGAACGCCTGAACAACATTTGGAAGAAACTTGAAATGCCCGATAATGATAGGATTGATATGACGATCAAATACTGCAAGATCGATTCGAAGAGTCTCAAAAATGTTGTGGATCTTTGGGAACACGCTTGCAATGCTATATCTAGCCGTGAAAAACTTATTTTAGAACTGGAAACATTCGAAAAAGATGCTTCAGATCCACAGCGGCTGTTTGGCCAGAACAGCAAAACGTCCCGTATTCTTGAGGAAAAGAAACGTTCAGCACTTCATCGCCGCATCAAAAAATGCGAAAAACAAGTCAATAACCACATAATAAAGGTACACAAAGAGCTTGGGGACACAGTTACATATCAAGGTCGAGTATATTTCGACAAAATGGCACGTGACACAACGGAAATGTTATATTGGCTGCAGCAGGAGCGCAGGCAGGCAGCACTTGAACAAGGAGGCATGGTTATGGTCGATCTGCCACCTATTTCCCCTTTAGAACTTGTATGAGTTTAACACTTAGTTGCCTCTTACTGTAGATATTTAGTCAGACTAAATTGTTTGGGTTGGGTTGAGACAAACGACAGAACTCAGAATGATTTTGTACAATAATTTATAAATAAAATACAGATATATCAGAACACAGAATGTAAATAGTTTTATATCTTTTATAGTTTCTATTTGATTATTTCAATGATATCCATGATCATGCATTTTAAGAAAATACAATTCTTACTTAATGTGTAAAATGTAATTAATTATTGATTATAATCAATTAAATTCAGCTCAGCAACCATGATTGATCTAGTCTTTTCTCGATTATTTAAGTTTAAGATTATGATAAGTTGTATGTGGGACAAATGTAAACGCTTCTTTTGTGAACCACAATGTTGTGACGCATGTTGGTCCAGATGTAATATAATAGACAATAGTCATGCGGTTGACAAAATATAACAATGCTATGATCTAAATCGCATGATCCATACGTCAGACGAAGCACATTGACTACTTTGCGTAGCGCGCGAAAACATTCTGGTTGGTAGTGGAGCACTGCGATCAGCTTGGTTACCATAGAAACTTTGATTTATTACAATTCATTAGCGTAATTAGAATTTAAATAAAATAAAAAGCAATTAGGTAAGTTATTATTCTGAAATCATCCTGTAAATGCCTTACATGTATGGAAGTAAAGGATGTTTAGTGCACCTGAATAAAGTAATTGTGTACATTCGAATTCGATCCTAGTTATTGGGCACGCATTGAAACCAGAAGAGTTAATTCAAAATATCATCTGGCCAGTTGCCATTTATCGATTCATGTCATTGTCATCTGAAAATTTCGCACAGTTCCTGAACATCTGATTATGCCAAGTTATTTATTTATAGCATTAATGTCTCAATACTGTTCTATTTCTGGTCTGAGTTTTAACACGGCCCCCTCTAAAAGTACTTATTCGTTTCCACAAAATCTGCCTCAAATCATTTTTCATAAGAATAAAGAAAATGAAAAAGAAAAACCCTTGTAACGTTGTTGTGAGAGCAAACAAATAGCTAAGTATCACAGAATCTGTGAAGAAGCCGAGTATTCCAAATCCCCAGGATAGCCCAAAAAGAACCGACAATGAACAAACTGCTTTGGCCTGAAATAAAATGTTTATAATTATATTCCGCATAGTGCGCGTTGTTGAAATTCAAGTAATCGTAATAGTTTGAGATAATTATTAAAGAGTACTGACCCGTTTGAGAAGTGCTGACAGTGGATGCATCTTGTTGTCTCTCTTCTGGTCACTGTTTTGTGAGGTGGGTGTGACACTGTAGTTGTTACTCGGTCTCTAAGGGAAGGTGTTAGTCCACGCATGAGTACATAACACACCATGTTAGCATCTTATTATATCGATGTTTGCTTGCATTGTTGATTTGTGATTGTATCGTGGATACGTAGCATATGTGTTAGGGGACGTTCACATATTACGTAATCAGCTGAGGGGGGGGGGGGGGGGGTTCCGAATGATTACGCTAGTGTAATTTTGACACACTAGCTATGTGTAAAACTGATTACGGAGGGGGGGGGGGGGGGGTAAAAATGTTCCAAAAAATGATTACGTAATATGTGAACGACCCCTTATATCATATATATGATATAATACATATCCACTATACAATGCAAGCAAACATTGCACTCAATGCGGGCTTGCGCTCGGAAATCTATGACCAAGAAAATCTAACAAAAGTGAAATAACTGTGTATAGTTATAACTATGTCCGCCGCCGTTTTCCTCTGTATTCAATACAATACACCGATAGGAACTCACGGTGTTGATCGAATGAAGAACCTGAACCAGAACGAGAAGATTGAACAACACAGTACCGATCACAACAGGAATGTAGAATATAAGTGTACCACGTTTCGTCAACCAGCATCTGCAGATGAAACACTAACAGTCAACTTGTTGGTATTAGTGGTAAGTGGTAAGTTTCCGATACAAATGAGATTAGTACAATGTGAGATCTGGTAAACGTTAATGTTAATTATTGCACAACCCGCCTGAAACCACATGATCAACATGTTATCTTACATTACAGTAGTATCGTAGAAGTTCTCGTCTAACAGGAGAGTGGCAGTAATGATAGTCGCAGCTAGTAGAGGGTTCAGCACCGCAGTCAACCTCAAGAAGTTGCCCGTAATCTTGCTATTGTAAACACTGACTGTTGCCTCGTACAGCGCGTACCCTTCCACTGTCATCCAGAACATGCTGAAGTGTAGGTTGGTTTCACCTCTCATTTTGTTGGCTACACTGTTCAAGATATCATGTTTGTAACTTTACCAATGATTGAATGCTGATACCTCCTATATTGATTTACATGGGAACCCCAGGCTATAGCTATAAGTATAAACATATAATTATAAACATATAAACCGAATAGAGATTCGGCGGAATGACAGGCTGAGCTCCGCCCAGTAACTATTGATATGTGTGTGGTGTGATTGTATAACACGAACCTGGAAAGAGCGAAGAAGAGTATGAGAACAGCGATAACAGTGCAAATAGTCCTATCTTCCGTCTTGTCGTGTCCTCCGAGGAATGTCAAGTTTAGGAGCAGGAGATTACCACACAACCAAATGTGAATTCTCTGTGATATCAGCTGACGTATCTTCCTGGATATCATAGATATGTGACGTTCTTTGTTTAGCTCCAGGGCTTAGCATACTTTTGTTTTCGAGTCACAATTTCAAATATTTTTCTAGGATATCTAATTTAACTTCAGTAAATCATGAAGTTACCTGTTAGAAAGCAGCGCAAAGAGAGAGATAAGAAGAAAGAGAGCTGACGCGATAAGAGATCCTATAGTTATGTTCTCCAAGGCTATGTCGTCTGCTCCTGCTGTGCTCTGAATTGTGTTTTATATGTGTGGGTTCATTTGATAATTCATGATAGAAATTACCCTATATTAATCTACTGGCATATTATTCGGAAGAATTAGTAAAGTGTAGTTCACATAATTTAAAGTGATTCATTTGATCTAAAGATTCATGAACAAGTTACGAATTGTTGATAAAATTCCTTATTTCTATGATTCATGTTTCAGTTCACATACCAGGAGTATAGAGAAACTAGTGAGATGTGAGCTGTTACAAATAACTTTGTTGTGATCTATCGTGGTGGTCAGTCCAGCTCGTGACCAACTCCCATTCTTTTCATTCCAGTACACGCACATTACCCCTGAATGCTACAGACCAAGGTATTTTATTTACAATGTATACTATGTTCGCTTATTGGAAAAATGTTAGCAAAAGACAATCATTAGGATCAAGGGGTAAAATCTTCCGGCCCAAATTTTCGACCTTCAATTCTAATCTGATTAGTAATGATTAACCCTAAGCTTTAAAGTACTTATAATCTATGTAAAAGCGCCATGAGTTGGCACAGAATTTTTTTCCTCCGATTTTGATAAATTTGGTACCAAAAGTTGTGAATTATGCAAATTCACCGTGCAGCACGATAAGGTCGATATTATTATTAACAGGAAACGATGTAACAGAGTCAATATATTTTAATGTTGTCATACTATGGTGGCAAGTCCCCATTCATCGTAGTCCGATAGTTTCAACTGATCCTAATATTATACAGGTACCTTTTTGCGGTGTTTATTAATAGTAAAAACAAGCTGCACTGCTCCCTCAATATCTTCTACTTTCTGTTCTTTGATCTTTACTGATACTATTTCTGGGTACAGATCCTGACCTGGAACTTTGGTTATTTTTTAGCAATTTTCACGACATTATTTGATCAGAATATATTATTCTTGGTCCACAAATTAAATAATTCTTTTTCACTATCGTCAGGATATTTCTTCGTACAATTGCTATTGTTCCGATAGAATGATACAATTATAAGCAATTCGCCGATCTATAATATAATCATACAATATAAATGCTTAATATAATTTATTGGTGTTACTTGTTATCCTCCTACCTCGGTCGTGAAGAACGTTATTCCCGTTAGTCATCCCCCTTATTTGCAACTTTTCGCGTGTGTATTTGATAATCTCGATTGTACGAATGGGTGAGCCAATGAAATCGAACGCGTCAAAGAACTTGATGTCTGTCCCTGAAATGCCTAAACATGAGCGGTATGATGATAATTTTCTGGGTTTATTATTACATTTCTTATTTTTCCCAAAGTTTTCGTTCAAGTTAAAATTGATAAAATAAATCCGACAAATTCCATTCTAATATCTTGACTCGTGAGTGTGCCTAAAATTCAATAAAAAGAAAAGGAAATTCGTACCATTAAGGTGGATTTTGTCAGGTCGGAATTTAAACTTGACTGCCCTAAAAACTGCCACTTCAAATGCCTGACTGTAAAACTGGAACTGCTGCTTTGAAAGGACTAGTCTGGTTACAACAGTTTCCAGAGCAGTCAGAAGAATTGAACTCTCATTCCCGTTGTGGAAATTCTGGGTTCTATCAGAACTCATGCTCTCGTAGATTGGAGACATTACCAATTTGTCAAGACAGCTTAACCAAGTCGTGATATCCTGTTATATACTATTGTTAGTTTCAATCTCTTTATTGTTTATCTTCAAAATAGATCAGAGACACTAAATTAAACATTACCTTGATGTTAAACAAAATTAAGTTGACTGCTTGCCGCATTTCAATTGCGTTTTGCGGCCGGCGGATCATATTTCCTTTGTGTCAAAGGTATTTCATGGGCCATAACTCAAACTGACTATAAATTTACGATACCTTTTCGACTGATATTTTATCTGAAATATAATGAAGCAGTTCGACGAGTTTTCTCATGTCGCTTAATGTTAGGTTGCCCGCTGATGCATCTTCTAAAAAGCTCAAACTGTCCAGAATCTGACTACTAATAACTTTGTTTCCCTGTGTGGTGGTGGTTATATGCTGGCTCGACCATCTGGAAATCTTAATTAACAATATTGAAACATAAAGTACATTTTAGATTAAATATGTAAGAAAAGCAGTTAACAGAGCCGCAACAGCCAGCGTACTAAAAGTGAACTAAATGTGAACTAAAAGTGAACTGGAAGTGCACTAAAAGTGAACCTTACCTCGAGCTGTAGATAGATAATATCCAGATACTCCCCAATCCCCGCACTGTCCGTATCAAGACAAGTGGTATTTGTTTTAAGAGGCTCCCACACACCTGCTCTACCACAACGTCTCCGTATAAAGGGGTCCAGGGATGAGGAGAGACAGTATTGAGACTGGTACTGTGTCTCAATTGTGTTTTTCCAAGTGAGACCTGACAACTTGTCGTCCTTACAAACACCTGTGAGCTCAGTTTAAGCCTTCTGCAAATTCTGATGAGTTTGTTTTGAATTTTGATAAATCAATTCCAATAATAAAGTTTCACAGCCTATACATTTTTTTATTAAATACTTTTCAAATTTCACAGAGTACAGCAATAGATGAATATGAAATAGAGTCGTTCAAAATATCGCCCCCATCTGTAAAATATGATGGGCACCCAAACACGGTATACACATAATGAACTATGTCCGCAGTAACTTGGACCCATTACATCGAATTAATCTAAATAACACTAAAATATAATTTAGACCTAATTTAGCGTATGAGTAGACGCCTGTCTCCTTATAGTGGCACAGTAACTTGTCTGGTTTTGGCCGCATTGTTATTGAGTGTGTTTTCCAATCGTTCTCTTCTTCCGACCATATCAGGCACTTCTGACTTCCTGGGTACTGTAGAAGGTTTATTATTTCCTGTTTAGTGATTGGCTTGAGTAACTAGAGATATTCTGACATTTATATACATGATCAGAATTGAAGGATCTTAGTTTACGTTATAATTGTCTGAAATTATGGAGTGGCCTAGTTTTATGTATTTGATTCTATTGTTATCTCTTAGTCCTAGGACCTAGATTAGCATCACGTGACCACGAGGTATGATGCAGATGTTAATATATACCTCCTCTGGATCCACATACAGTCTCACATCAGCACCCGATCCCCCCTGATCACTATGAAACGTCACGGATATGACTGGTTCTTTGGAGTTTTCTCCTCCGAACAGCCTTTTGTTGGTCATGAACACCATTCTTATTGTTTCTGACTTTTTAGGGTTTCCAGTTCCTATTGTCACGTTCATATCTGAAGGCAGTTGTTAAAATTGTCTTCTATCATCACTATTTGCCTGCTAAACTATTTAACTATGATAAACTTACGATTTTATCAGATTTTTACGTTAAAAAATCTTAAAATTTATACTGTTTAGAATTTAAATAGTGTTTTATTCATAAATACTGTTGGAATCATCCGTCAAAGACGCGAGAAAATGCTATGGTATAGCTAGCACATCAGTCTGTTCGAAGCAACACTAACGTTTCAAGTTGAAAGAAGTCGCAGATTGATTTCCAATCTTTATCAGATAAACAGTGAAGTTGTTGTTGAAGAGGATCAAGTGTCGTTGGTCTATTGGGGGGTCTATCTTGTACAGAGCTAATACTGTCCTGTTCCAGAGTCTGAAATGGTCGTTAGTTGCTGCTCCTGCTAGATTTTATATTTTCATATCATTGTTGTGATCGATCATTCTCCACAAGCGACAAGCTATTACAAAACTGTTATGATCAGGATTTAAATAATAATTAGTCTTTAATTAAGGCCGGGGAGCAGCTTCTGCTCCTATTCCTCCTTACCCGAGTAGTTCATTTCCCGTTTGGAAGCTCTCTCGAAACTGTTTGTAGCCCGAGCACAGAATAGAGTTAAAGTGATGACTGTAAACCTCAAGATGGGATGGTGTTTCCAGCGAATCTACGACCTGAAGCAGCACGCTGTGTAGAGCTGTGAGTTGTTCTGAGTTCAGATAGCAGCTTGTTGGTGTTGAATCCAAACGTCTCATAAGCTTCCTTGGCTCGCTCTGGTAACGTTATGAGGAATATGTCATGAGCAAATCTTTTTTGTCCCTTTCAACTTAGAACCAAAGGTCCCACCGCCCAAGTGGCAACAGTTTTTGATACATTTTGATATTTTTATCGCAAGTTCAAACTACTAACCTGCAAGGAGTGGTTGAGTTTGCTGTGTGCCCCTCTCAGCTCCTCCTCGCAAGGATCATGCTCAGTAACCCAGTCCCTCCCTTCACAGTTTCTCCTGACACTTGAGTCCTGGTCACCACTAGAGTCACACTGCAAACTGACGGAGTGACCTGACTGTGTAGCTGGCCAGGTCAGGTTACCATACTGGTCGTTAATACACTGGCTCTCACACTTTCCCAACACAAGCAACAGTAGCCATGGCAATAGTAACTTCATCTAAATAAAACTAACAGGTTTTGGGTAAATTGCTTAGTTGTAGTGAACGTACGGAACGTTCACTAAAAATAGTTTGTGAACGCGTTTGCTAAAAGATTTTAACGTTCGGAACATAAGGAACGTTAATTGCTATTATGAAATTAAAATGCCGGACATAGCCCAATTATCCGGCAAAGATGCTGACGGATGAACGAGATTCTCTAAGACGGCAGGTGGACGTTTTCCAGAAACGGCTGATCACTGAGCAATTCCCATGTACCCTAACAACTGATGGTTGGAAGGATCTATCCTCTCACCCTCTCGTTAACTTCATCCTCGTGCAAAGGCAGGACATTATTTTTCATGACGCGGTTAATGCTACAGGGGTTGAGAAAACTGCGAATGGTCAGTATGAGATTGTAAAAGCCAAAATTGAAGAAATTGGCGCCGACAGGATTTGCCACGTTGTAACAGCCAATCCAAATGTCAATAAATCTCTACGACGCTTAATCGAAGCTGATTATGAACACATCATAGGATCATGTTGTGTAACCCACCAGTTCGATCTACTTGCCGAGGATGTCGGGAAGTTGAGCTGGACCAAGGAGACATTGTCGAATTGTAACAAAATAGTTACAAATGTGAAGAAACGTTTAGAACCCATTCTCATGTCAATTTGCTAAAACCAGGTTTGCCTCCCAGTTTATTATGTTAGAGAGACTGAAGGGTTCCAAGGATGTCTTGCCAACAAAAGGTGGCTCGAGCTCCATTCCCCCCTACATTCAGTAGGGTTTTGTGTTCACCCGCGGCTTATCAGGGATATGATCAGCACACGAATCAGGATGTCTGGAAGTTAAAAACTATCGGAAAATTATCAAAATATTGACTAACGTTCACTAACGTTCACAAACGTTCACTACAAAATGATTGGAACGTACGTTCAGTACGACTAAGTTCAGCGTTCACTACAACTAAGGTAAATTGTCGCGTTACGAAAGTTATTGCGAAATATTAAAGCGTATTTTGGTTTCAAACTGGCCAACTGGTATCAAGCTACTGTAGTCATTTATGCGTTAAATATGCAATTATTGGCGGATGTCAAACTTTAGTGTCAATAAATGTAAGTTATTGCATGGGCACAACTCACGATAAAAGCGCGGTTGCATTGACTATTGTGCCTTATTCGAATCATTAGCTGCATTTCCTAGTTTCAAATTATTGTATCACTTCATATAATATCTAAAACTATCTACTGGATTTCAAAATATAAATCATATCAAACATCATATGGCTGCAGTCTGGTTTGGTTCGTTAAAATGGCGTTTCTAAATAAACTTTAAGATTAGAATTCCCCCGTCCCCCATCCTATTTTTAACAATTTTTTGCTTTTCCCCCAAAAACCCATAAAAATAAGAGCCGATCAAAATAAATTTTACAAGAAATATGAACTGGGCCAATATAAGGTTATGTGCCACCAAGCTCTAAACGGAAGAGTCTTTTTCAGAATTGGCCAATAAATTGACAAAAATATTCCATGATCTCATGATGTTCTTGAAGTTGAACGGAATTAGATGAGTTCTAAATCGCCCTATCTTAGGTTCATCGCATTTGATAGATAGAAATGAAGTCAATACCGAGAAGGTTAAAATGGAACACAAAAGTAAAACAGCGTAACTTTGAACGAATATCAATGTGTAAATTAAATTAGATTAAGTTTCTAAAATTCAGAACTTAAGTCAAAGTGAAACGTGGAAATCGAATATCTGAGGCCGATGCACAAACTATTAATTAAGTTTCAGACAACTTTATGACATGATTGCGGCACTTACAGCACTGATATGCCAGTCTTGTGACACAATGATTATAACATGCGGCACGATAAAATGGGAACTTGCTAAATGAAAGAGGAGAAACAATGTTCTGTAAATGGGGCAATTACCCATTCGTTCTAATAGAATTAGAAAGAATTATCAAACAAATCACCCTTAGGGTGTCTGAGGTCAAATTGGAGCGCGTGTAAGTGTAACCACATGTAGTAGGTAATGTGTAAGCAGCTTTCCACAATGTTCTACAGTTCTTTCCACAGAAAGAACTACCTAATTCAAGAAAATTCTCCGTATCAGTGAATAAGGAAGAAGAAAGATCGAGATACTTGATTATCTACGGCGTGAAGGAGACGGAAGAAGCGGGGTGGGAGGACATATTAGAGATTGACCCTCTCCAGGACTTTTTCAAGTTAGTTTTTGCTGAGGCCGGCTGTCATTTTCCTGACACTGATGAGATATGCAGGATTGGGAAGAAAGTTCCTGAGAAAATGCGACCAATTAAAGTTCAGTTACAAAGCTCTAGCGATGTGGACATTATACTAAGGAATGCACACAAACTTAAAACGAATGAAGATTTTAAGTCCGTTTATCTTGCACCGGATAGGACAAAGGAGCAGAGAAGGCTACACAGTGGACTTGTCAAACAGATGAAAGAAATAATAAAGCTGGACAATAGCAAGCGTTATCTTATCAGAGACAATAAAGTTAATTGTGTTAGTGAGAGCTATAGCCTTTTCTACAAGTACACTGACTTGTTATCAGAATTTATGAACTTTTATATGTTATGTTCACTTTCGTTATCTACGTGCTGATACAGTGTAGTTTGTTTTACATAGTATGTATTTTAATTTGGTGTAAGTGGTAGCCGTTGTATTCTATAAACCGTTTTTAACGAGTTGGAGATTTAGCAGAATGAACTGTGGCTCATATTTTATTATAGCTAGTTAGTTTTTAGATAGTTAAGAGTATTAGTTAGTTAGTGTATATTAGTATCAGCTTCCTATACACATAATTATAGGGGAGTGGTCTATATTGCGAAGGAGCCGACTTTTGTCATCAACGCAGGTCCGTCGGGCCACCTCATATATCCAAACCCGATTACTTATTCCCTACGATCTTTTTGCCTTCGGCAAGAGTAGGGGAAAAAATTGCAGGGAATAAATAGAAATTTAAGATTTCATGTCTATTCTTATATTCACGTATGTTAAATAAAATTATATTGTTATGTATCATATGATTTTGTAAACATTGGCCGGTGTACCAAAAACAGGTCCCCAAACAAACAACTAACCGTACGCTTGCCGCACATTTCGTAAATATTCGCTGCACTCAAAGCTGCACTAATACTATTTACCAAATTTGCCGCACATTAAGAAATCATGGGCAACTGCGGAATCACAATTTTCGCAAAATTTTGCCGCACTTGTAGTTATATGTTGCCTCTGCTGAGGATCGTAGGGCTCGGCAGAACTGTGAAAGTCGAGGTAAAAAGTGCAAATCGAATATCCGAGGATGCACAAATTATGGATTGAGTTGGTAAATGTTCTGGTTAGTATTTGTAAGCGTAGACACCGTCCCACTGAGGATCGTAGGGCTCCATCCAGAATTTTCTGAAGAGATGGATGAGCTCAGGTCGCTCAAGTGCACCACTCTTGTCTGTGTCAGCCTTCTCGAAGAAGGTGTAAGCAGCCTCCTGGGGCACATCGAAAGCTTTCATCATGGTCTTGAGTTCCTCAACACTGACTGTACCATCACCGTCATCATCGAGGACATCGTAGTAAGCGTTGGACAAGAGACCAATCATGGAGGGTTCGCCACGTCTGTCCCTTTCTCTTTCAGCCTCAGCAAAGACTCTGTTAGACTCAACCCAGTCCTCCCTGAGAAGGCCGTTGACTGGGTCGACTCCTTTGTTGGTGAAGAAGGTGTAGCAAGCAGCCCTCATCTTGTCGACCTGTTCGTCAGTAGCGTTCACCAGCTGTCTCATTCTGTCGGGCCAGTAGAGGATCTCGTCGATCTCCATTTTACCGTCACAGTCCAAATCGAAGGTGTCGAACCTCTTGTAGAGCCGGGAGATCATCTTTGGGTGGAGATCCTCTACGTTGAACTGCCACATGTTACCCACGCTCCTCAGGTATCTGTAACTCTCGTTGTTGGTCTCGTCGAGTGGCATCTTGTTGGTTTTCTTGGCTAAAATAATAGATTGGTTAGTGAATGTATTCATGTTTTGAATGATTGGAGAATAATCAGAAAACATATTGAGATTGATTAATCAAATTTGATCGATTGGAATAAAGTATTCATATCCTGGTGAAGGTTTAGATCAGGAAAAGCTAGAGTAAAACAGCGTTTCTTGGAAAGATCATATCAATGTGTAAATTGTTATTGGATTAAGTGTTTCTAAAATTGAGAACTGTGAAAGTCAGGGTAAAAAGTGGAAATCGAATATCCGAGGATGCACAAATTATGGATTGAGTTGGTAAATGTTCTGGTTAGTATTTGTAAGCGTAGACACCGTCCCACTGAGGATCGTAGGGCTCCATCCAGAATTTTCTGAAGAGATGGATGAGCTCAGGTCGCTCAAGTGCACCACTCTTGTCTGTGTCAGCCTTCTCGAAGAAGGTGTAAGCAGCCTCCTGGGGCACATCGAAAGCTTTCATCATGGTCTTGAGTTCCTCAACACTGACTGTACCATCACCGTCATCATCGAGGACATCGTAGTAAGCGTTGGACAAGAGACCAATCATGGAGGGTTCGCCACGTCTGTCCCTTTCTCTTTCAGCCTCAGCAAAGACTCTGTTAGACTCAACCCAGTCCTCCCTGAGAAGGCCGTTGACTGGGTCGACTCCTTTGTTGGTGAAGAAGGTGTAGCAAGCAGCCCTCATCTTGTCGACCTGTTCGTCAGTAGCGTTCACCAGCTGTCTCATTCTGTCGGGCCAGTAGAGGATCTCGTCGATCTCCATTTTACCGTCACAGTCCAAATCGAAGGTGTCGAACCTCTTGTAGAGCCGGGAGATCATCTTTGGGTGGAGATCCTCTACGTTGAACTGCCACATGTTACCCACGCTCCTCAGGTATCTGTAACTCTCGTTGTTGGTCTCGTCGAGTGGCATCTTGTTGGTTTTCTTGGCTAAAATAATAGATTGGTTAGTGAATGTATTCATGTTTTGAATGATTGGAGAATAATCAGAAAACATATTGAGATTGATTAATCAAATTTGATCGATTGGAATAAAGTATTCATATCTGGTGAAGGTTTAGATCACGAAAAACAAGAGTAAAACAGCGTTTCTTGGAAAGATCATATCAATGTGTAAATTGTTATTGGATTAAGTGTTTCTAAAATTGAGAACTGTGAAAGTCAGGGTAAAAAGTGGAAATCGAATATCCGAGGATGCACAAATTATGGATTGAGTTGGTAAATGTTCTGGTTAGTATTTGTAAGCGTAGACACCGTCCCACTGAGGATCGTAGGGCTCCATCCAGAATTTTCTGAAGAGATGGATGAGCTCAGGTCGCTCAAGTGCACCACTCTTGTCTGTGTCAGCCTTCTCGAAGAAGGTGTAAGCAGCCTCCTGGGGCACATCGAAAGCTTTCATCATGGTCTTGAGTTCCTCAACACTGACTGTACCATCACCGTCATCATCGAGGACATCGTAGTAAGCGTTGGACAAGAGACCAATCATGGAGGGTTCGCCACGTCTGTCCCTTTCTCTTTCAGCCTCAGCAAAGACTCTGTTAGACTCAACCCAGTCCTCCCTGAGAAGGCCGTTGACTGGGTCGACTCCTTTGTTGGTGAAGAAGGTGTAGCAAGCAGCCCTCATCTTGTCGACCTGTTCGTCAGTAGCGTTCACCAGCTGTCTCATTCTGTCGGGCCAGTAGAGGATCTCGTCGATCTCCATTTTACCGTCACAGTCCAAATCGAAGGTGTCGAACCTCTTGTAGAGCCGGGAGATCATCTTTGGGTGGAGATCCTCTACGTTGAACTGCCACATGTTACCCACGCTCCTCAGGTATCTGTAACTCTCGTTGTTGGTCTCGTCGAGTGGCATCTTGTTGGTTTTCTTGGCTAAAATAATAGATTGGTTAGTGAATGTATTCATGTTTTGAATGATTGGAAAATAATCAGAAAACATATTGAGATTGATTAATCAAATTTGATCGATTGGAATAAATAATTATACTGTGGCGAAGGTTTAGATCACGAAAAACAAGAGTAAAACAGCGTTTCTTGGAAAGATCATATCAATGTGTAAATTGTTATTGGATTAAGTGTTTCTAAAATTGAGAACTGTGAAAGTCAGGGTAAAAAGTGGAAATCGAATATCCGAGGATGCACAAATTATGGATTGAGTTGGTAAATGTTGTGGTTAGTATTTGTAAGCGTAGACACCGTCCCACTGAGGATCGTAGGGCTCCATCCAGAATTTTCTGAAGAGATGGATGAGCTCAGGTCGCTCAAGTGCACCACTCTTGTCTGTGTCAGCCTTCTCGAAGAAGGTGTAAGCAGCCTCCTGGGGCACATCGAAAGCTTTCATCATGGTCTTGAGTTCCTCAACACTGACTGTACCATCACCGTCATCATCGAGGACATCGTAGTAAGCGTTGGACAAGAGACCAATCATGGAGGGTTCGCCACGTCTGTCCCTTTCTCTTTCAGCCTCAGCAAAGACTCTGTTAGACTCAACCCAGTCCTCCCTGAGAAGGCCGTTGACTGGGTCGACTCCTTTGTTGGTGAAGAAGGTGTAGCAAGCAGCCCTCATCTTGTCGACCTGTTCGTCAGTAGCGTTCACCAGCTGTCTCATTCTGTCGGGCCAGTAGAGGATCTCGTCGATCTCCATTTTACCGTCACAGTCCAAATCGAAGGTGTCGAACCTCTTGTAGAGCCGGGAGATCATCTTTGGGTGGAGATCCTCTACGTTGAACTGCCACATGTTACCCACGCTCCTCAGGTATCTGTAACTCTCGTTGTTGGTCTCGTCGAGTGGCATCTTGTTGGTTTTCTTGGCTAAAATAATAGATTGGTTAGTGAATGTATTCATGTTTTGAATGATTGGAGAATAATCAGAAAACATATTGAGATTGATTAATCAAATTTGATCGATTTGAATAAAGTATTATGCTGTGGTGAAGGTTTAGATCACGAAAAACAAGAGTAAAACAGCGTTTCTTGGAAAGATCATATCAATGTGTAAATTGTTATTGGATTAAGTGTTTCTAAAATTGAGAACTGTGAAAGTCAGGGTAAAAAGTGGAAATCGAATATCCGAGGATGCACAAATTATGGATTGAGTTGGTAAATGTTGTGGTTAGTATTTGTAAGCGTAGACACCGTCCCACTGAGGATCGTAGGGCTCCATCCAGAATTTTCTGAAGAGATGGATGAGCTCAGGTCGCTCAAGTGCACCACTCTTGTCTGTGTCAGCCTTCTCGAAGAAGGTGTAAGCAGCCTCCTGGGGCACATCGAAAGCTTTCATCATGGTCTTGAGTTCCTCAACACTGACTGTACCATCACCGTCATCATCGAGGACATCGTAGTAAGCGTTGGACAAGAGACCAATCATGGAGGGTTCGCCACGTCTGTCCCTTTCTCTTTCAGCCTCAGCAAAGACTCTGTTAGACTCAACCCAGTCCTCCCTGAGAAGGCCGTTGACTGGGTCGACTCCTTTGTTGGTGAAGAAGGTGTAGCAAGCAGCCCTCATCTTGTCGACCTGTTCGTCAGTAGCGTTCACCAGCTGTCTCATTCTGTCGGGCCAGTAGAGGATCTCGTCGATCTCCATTTTACCGTCACAGTCCAAATCGAAGGTGTCGAACCTCTTGTAGAGCCGGGAGATCATCTTTGGGTGGAGATCCTCTACGTTGAACTGCCACATGTTACCCACGCTCCTCAGGTATCTGTAACTCTCGTTGTTGGTCTCGTCGAGTGGCATCTTGTTGGTTTTCTTGGCTAAAATAATAGATTGGTTAGTGAATGTATTCATGTTTTGAATGATTGGAGAATAATCAGAAAACATATTGAGATTGATTAATCAAATTTGATCGATTTGAATAAAGTATTCATATCCTGGTGAAGGTTTAGATCACGAAAAACAAGAGTAAAACAGCGTTTCTTGGAAAGATCATATCAATGTGTAAATTGTTATTGAATTAAGTGTTTCTAAAATTGAGAACTGTGAAAGTCAGGGTAAAAAGTGGAAATCGAATATCCGAGGATGCACAAATTATGGATTGAGTTGGTAAATGTTGTGGTTAGTATTTGTAAGCGTAGACACCGTCCCACTGAGGATCGTAGGGCTCCATCCAGAATTTTCTGAAGAGATGGATGAGCTCAGGTCGCTCAAGTGCACCACTCTTGTCTGTGTCAGCCTTCTCGAAGAAGGTGTAAGCAGCCTCCTGGGGCACATCGAAAGCTTTCATCATGGTCTTGAGTTCCTCAACACTGACTGTACCATCACCGTCATCATCGAGGACATCGTAGTAAGCGTTGGACAAGAGACCAATCATGGAGGGTTCGCCACGTCTGTCCCTTTCTCTTTCAGCCTCAGCAAAGACTCTGTTAGACTCAACCCAGTCCTCCCTGAGAAGGCCGTTGACTGGGTCGACTCCTTTGTTGGTGAAGAAGGTGTAGCAAGCAGCCCTCATCTTGTCGACCTGTTCGTCAGTAGCGTTCACCAGCTGTCTCATTCTGTCGGGCCAGTAGAGGATCTCGTCGATCTCCATTTTACCGTCACAGTCCAAATCGAAGGTGTCGAACCTCTTGTAGAGCCGGGAGATCATCTTTGGGTGGAGATCCTCTACGTTGAACTGCCACATGTTACCCACGCTCCTCAGGTATCTGTAACTCTCGTTGTTGGTCTCGTCGAGTGGCATCTTGTTGGTTTTCTTGGCTAAAATAATAGATTGGTTAGTGAATGTATTCATGTTTTGAATGATTGGAGAATAATCAGAAAACATATTGAGATTGATTAATCAAATTTGATCGATTTGAATAAATAATTATGCTGTGGTGAAGGTTTAGATCACGAAAAACAAGAGTAAAACAGCGTTTCTTGGAAAGATCATATCAATGTGTAAATTGTTATTGATTAAGTGTTTCTAAAATTGAGAACTGTGAAAGTCAGGGTAAAAAGTGGAAATCGAATATCCGAGGATGCACAAATTATGGATTGAGTTGGTAAATGTTGTGGTTAGTATTTGTAAGCGTAGACACCGTCCCACTGAGGATCGTAGGGCTCCATCCAGAATTTTCTGAAGAGATGGATGAGCTCAGGTCGCTCAAGTGCACCACTCTTGTCTGTGTCAGCCTTCTCGAAGAAGGTGTAAGCAGCCTCCTGGGGCACATCGAAAGCTTTCATCATGGTCTTGAGTTCCTCAACACTGACTGTACCATCACCGTCATCATCGAGGACATCGTAGTAAGCGTTGGACAAGAGACCAATCATGGAGGGTTCGCCACGTCTGTCCCTTTCTCTTTCAGCCTCAGCAAAGACTCTGTTAGACTCAACCCAGTCCTCCCTGAGAAGGCCGTTGACTGGGTCGACTCCTTTGTTGGTGAAGAAGGTGTAGCAAGCAGCCCTCATCTTGTCGACCTGTTCGTCAGTAGCGTTCACCAGCTGTCTCATTCTGTCGGGCCAGTAGAGGATCTCGTCGATCTCCATTTTACCGTCACAGTCCAAATCGAAGGTGTCGAACCTCTTGTAGAGCCGGGAGATCATCTTTGGGTGGAGATCCTCTACGTTGAACTGCCACATGTTACCCACGCTCCTCAGGTATCTGTAACTCTCGTTGTTGGTCTCGTCGAGTGGCATCTTGTTGGTTTTCTTGGCTAAAATAATAGATTGGTTAGTGAATGTATTCATGTTTTGAATGATTGGAGAATAATCAGAAAACATATTGAGATTGATTAATCAAATTTGATCGATTTGCATAAATATTTATGCTGTGGTGAAGGTTTAGATCACGAAAAACAAGAGTAAAACAGCGTTTCTTGGAAAGATCATATCAATGTGTAAATTGTTATTGGATTAAGTGTTTCTAAAATTGAGAACTGTGAAAGTCAGGGTAAAAAGTGGAAATCGAATATCCGAGGATGCACAAATTATGGATTGAGTTGGTAAATGTTGTGGTTAGTATTTGTAAGCGTAGACACCGTCCCACTGAGGATCGTAGGGCTCCATCCAGAATTTTCTGAAGAGATGGATGAGCTCAGGTCGCTCAAGTGCACCACTCTTGTCTGTGTCAGCCTTCTCGAAGAAGGTGTAAGCAGCCTCCTGGGGCACATCGAAAGCTTTCATCATGGTCTTGAGTTCCTCAACACTGACTGTACCATCACCGTCATCATCGAGGACATCGTAGTAAGCGTTGGACAAGAGACCAATCATGGAGGGTTCGCCACGTCTGTCCCTTTCTCTTTCAGCCTCAGCAAAGACTCTGTTAGACTCAACCCAGTCCTCCCTGAGAAGGCCGTTGACTGGGTCGACTCCTTTGTTGGTGAAGAAGGTGTAGCAAGCAGCCCTCATCTTGTCGACCTGTTCGTCAGTAGCGTTCACCAGCTGTCTCATTCTGTCGGGCCAGTAGAGGATCTCGTCGATCTCCATTTTACCGTCACAGTCCAAATCGAAGGTGTCGAACCTCTTGTAGAGCCGGGAGATCATCTTTGGGTGGAGATCCTCTACGTTGAACTGCCACATGTTACCCACGCTCCTCAGGTATCTGTAACTCTCGTTGTTGGTCTCGTCGAGTGGCATCTTGTTGGTTTTCTTGGCTAAAATAATAGATTGGTTAGTGAATGTATTCATGTTTTGAATGATTGGAGAATAATCAGAAAACATATTGAGATTGATTAATCAAATTTGATCGATTTGAATAAATAATTATGCTGTGGTGAAGGTTTAGATCACGAAAAACAAGAGTAAAACAGCGTTTCTTGGAAAGATCATATCAATGTGTAAATTGTTATTGAATTAAGTGTTTCTAAAATTGAGAACTGTGATAGTCAGGGTAAAAAGTGGAAATCGAATATCCGAGGATGCACAAATTATGGATTGAGTTGGTAAATGTTGTGGTTAGTATTTGTAAGCGTAGACACCGTCCCACTGAGGATCGTAGGGCTCCATCCAGAATTTTCTGAAGAGATGGATGAGCTCAGGTCGCTCAAGTGCACCACTCTTGTCTGTGTCAGCCTTCTCGAAGAAGGTGTAAGCAGCCTCCTGGGGCACATCGAAAGCTTTCATCATGGTCTTGAGTTCCTCAACACTGACTGTACCATCACCGTCATCATCGAGGACATCGTAGTAAGCGTTGGACAAGAGACCAATCATGGAGGGTTCGCCACGTCTGTCCCTTTCTCTTTCAGCCTCAGCAAAGACTCTGTTAGACTCAACCCAGTCCTCCCTGAGAAGGCCGTTGACTGGGTCGACTCCTTTGTTGGTGAAGAAGGTGTAGCAAGCAGCCCTCATCTTGTCGACCTGTTCGTCAGTAGCGTTCACCAGCTGTCTCATTCTGTCGGGCCAGTAGAGGATCTCGTCGATCTCCATTTTACCGTCACAGTCCAAATCGAAGGTGTCGAACCTCTTGTAGAGCCGGGAGATCATCTTTGGGTGGAGATCCTCTACGTTGAACTGCCACATGTTACCCACGCTCCTCAGGTATCTGTAACTCTCGTTGTTGGTCTCGTCGAGTGGCATCTTGTTGGTTTTCTTGGCTAAAATAATAGATTGGTTAGTGAATGTATTCATGTTTTGAATGATTGGAGAATAATCAGAAAACATATTGAGATTGATTAATCAAATTTGATCGATTTGAATAAATTATTATGCTGTGGTGAAGGTTTAGATCACGAAAAACAAGAGTAAAACAGCGTTTCTTGGAAAGATCATATCAATGTGTAAATTGTTATTGAATTAAGTGTTTCTAAAATTGAGAACTGTGAAAGTCAGGGTAAAAAGTGGAAATCGAATATCCGAGGATGCACAAATTATGGATTGAGTTGGTAAATGTTCTGGTTAGTATTTGTAAGCGTAGACACCGTCCCACTGAGGATCGTAGGGCTCCATCCAGAATTTTCTGAAGAGATGGATGAGCTCAGGTCGCTCAAGTGCACCACTCTTGTCTGTGTCAGCCTTCTCGAAGAAGGTGTAAGCAGCCTCCTGGGGCACATCGAAAGCTTTCATCATGGTCTTGAGTTCCTCAACACTGACTGTACCATCACCGTCATCATCGAGGACATCGTAGTAAGCGTTGGACAAGAGACCAATCATGGAGGGTTCGCCACGTCTGTCCCTTTCTCTTTCAGCCTCAGCAAAGACTCTGTTAGACTCAACCCAGTCCTCCCTGAGAAGGCCGTTGACTGGGTCGACTCCTTTGTTGGTGAAGAAGGTGTAGCAAGCAGCCCTCATCTTGTCGACCTGTTCGTCAGTAGCGTTCACCAGCTGTCTCATTCTGTCGGGCCAGTAGAGGATCTCGTCGATCTCCATTTTACCGTCACAGTCCAAATCGAAGGTGTCGAACCTCTTGTAGAGCCGGGAGATCATCTTTGGGTGGAGATCCTCTACGTTGAACTGCCACATGTTACCCACGCTCCTCAGGTATCTGTAACTCTCGTTGTTGGTCTCGTCGAGTGGCATCTTGTTGGTTTTCTTGGCTAAAATAATAGATTGGTTAGTGAATGTATTCATGTTTTGAATGATTGGAGAATAATCAGAAAACATATTGAGATTGATTAATCAAATTTGATCGATTTGAATAAAGTATTCATATCCTGTGGTGAAGGTTTAGATCACGAAAAACAAGAGTAAAACAGCGTTTCTTGGAAAGATCATATCAATGTGTAAATTGTTATTGGATTAAGTGTTTCTAAAATTGAGAACTGTGAAAGTCAGGGTAAAAAGTGGAAATCGAATATCCGAGGATGCACAAATTATGGATTGAGTTGGTAAATGTTGTGGTTAGTATTTGTAAGCGTAGACACCGTCCCACTGAGGATCGTAGGGCTCCATCCAGAATTTTCTGAAGAGATGGATGAGCTCAGGTCGCTCAAGTG